TATAGTATATATATATATGTATATAATGTATATAAATATATATATATATAATATATATATAATATATATATGTGTGTGTGTGTGTTTTGTGTGTATGTATACACACACACACAACAGCACACTGCGGCTAGCCGGAGGATCGAAAACGTGTTGATTTATCCCGCCTCGTGAGAAGCAAGTCAAAATTACACAACGCTCTAAACCACTGTACCATACAATCCTACAAACAACATGAGCCTAGCGAACTAGGCTTGCTTCATGTTGTGAGGACATACAATGGTGTGGTTGCCTCAGAACTTATTTCATTCTTCTCCCCGTTTGATGTACTAGCCTCCACAAGCAGTAAATATATTAATGCACGAACAAATGGTATTTAAGCAATCACATACTGTGGCTAGCCGCGGGTTCGAATCCGTGTTGTTTTAGCCTGCCTCGTGGTTTTAGAGCGCCGTGAATTTTGCTTTGCTTTCCACGAGGCGAGCTAAAACAACACGGATACGATCCCCTGGCTAGCTGCAGTCTGTTATTGCTTAAATACCACTCGCTCGTAGTTGCACTGTCACCGGAAGATCAGCAATGGAATCAAGCAACTCTCCCAGTGCGAGTGGGAGGTATAAGTGTGCGCAAGGCAACGCAGGTAGTTTTACCTGCATTTCTGTCCTCGTGAATGGCTTCCAGTGGACTAGTCAAGGATATTATCCCCGAACGCTTGAGAGGCGCGGTAGGAGCTCAAGATCCCAGGTTCAGTGAAGCAGCCGTGCGGTGGGACACCCTTGCAGACTCCTCCAGCAGATCAGCTCCGCCCAAAGAGAATAAACAGTCTCACTGGGACAAACCGATCATGGAAAAAATTGCCAACACAATGCTCAACAACACTTCAGGAAAGGACAAAGCTCATCTCCTGGCGGTGAAGGCACCACATTTAGGAAATTTCTTTTTAGTTGTTCCCAATTCCTTCCTGGGCACCCGACTCGACCCACAGGCCACTCGGATTGGTGTTGCTCTTTGCTTAGCCGCCCCCATACTCATTGAATATAGGTGTATTTGTAAAGTAAAAGGACACAAGTGCAACTAATGTGACATTTATTGTGGCAACGTTTCGCTCTCCAGGAGCTTTATCAAGCCATTACAAACAATACATGGACACAGAGGGTATATAAAGGCTCAGAGTGAGGTGAATACTAGTGAGGTAACATTTCGATGTTCACTAGTGGTAGTAGTAGTAGTAGTAGTAGTAGTGGTAGTGACAAAAGTAATACAATATGGTAGAGCAATTAATTCGTACATGAGTAAAAGGATATAAAAGCTATTACTTGGGTAACATAAAAATAGGTTGGACAAATATAAACTGGAATGAGGCAGCTTGTTTCAGTGTTCACTCTCTGTGCTTTGTGTAGTATAACAGGAGAGACAGACTATGTGATGGCAGGGTTTACTGTTTTCAGGAGGATTCTAGCTAAGACTTCGGAGATGGTGAAGCTGCCGTTGTTTTGTTTAATTGTATTCGAAACAGCGATCAGTGCTGATTCGAGGCACTTGCGTCTGCGGAAATTAGTTTCTTTGATCACTAATTGGGCGTCTCTGAATTTCATGAGATGATTGGTGGAATTTCGGTGTTGTACACCGTATTTGCGTCAGGGCGTCGGCTGATCAATTCGGACTTCATGGTCTCCTGTGTCATGCATCAGATGGGAAGTATGCTAGACATGAGGAGGTCAGCGACATCATAAAGAGAAGTCTCGCCAAAGTCCGTTGCGCAGCTCAATGGGAGCCCCAAGTATGGAGGTCTGACGGAAGTCAAAAGCGTCCAGATGGAGCCACTATGCTACCTTGGAAGGATGGTAAGCAGATTGCCTGGGACTACACCTGTGCTGCCATGTTGACGGATATCTACTTACCATACTCTGAAGTTGAAGGGGGTGGAGCCGCCAGTTACAGGGAGACCCAGAAGATCCGCAAATTTGAGGGGCTGCCCAGTTGCTATAACTTCATCCCAGTAGGGTCGGAGACCCTTGGAGCATGGGGCAAGTTCCTCAAAGAGCTGGGCGAGAAACTCATCACACAAACCAAGGATCACAGATCGGCCAGCTTCCTTTTTCAGAGACTTAGTGTTGCGATCCAGAGGGGAAATGCCTGCAGCATTCTGAGTACGCGGCCGACTACCGGGGAGTTGGATGAGGTATTTGAGAAGTAGGCTCTGACATGTATGTTGTTCTACTTCCTATTGTATTTTTGTTAATATATTTTGTCTTTAAATAAAGTTTACATAGAATATAAAATATAGGGGTGGTAGGATAAGAAAATACTCAACAGCTCCGGGGAGAATCTCGAATCAAGTGGAAGCCTTCTCCTGGAAGCCTCTGGTGCATCCATTAGCATCAACCTTCACTAAGTATATAGTATGCTGGAAACCACATTCTTTCCTGGCTACTCTACACCTGTGACGGAGGGAGTGTGAGGGAAGGCGGCTGATTTAATGCACTCCTCCCCCAACTCCTAAATAGTGCGAGATTCAAGCAAGACTTGACGTACTCAGCAAGGTTTCTGTACTTGTTGAATATCCTGCTAAGAGTGGAGTGCGGTGCTTAATATTAATATCTGCGAGCTTTGTGTCAGCTTTAGAAAAATCTGGCGATAAATCTTTGAGATTATTAAATTAATTAAAAAACGTCAAAACCGCAATGATCATACTGTGGTTAGCGAATGGGAGGTGATCACGTTTGTTTGATCATCAGGAAACCTGGTCAAGGACCGGGTCGCTGGGGCGTTGACCCCCGAGACACCCTCCAGGTATGTAAGTGGAGGATAGTTCCATTTCCTTTTAATTAACAGTGATTCACCTTCTAGAAAAATATACCTCTAGGAAAATATATTACGCACTTTAAATAGAAAGAAAATTATAACCCAGCGCCAAAAGAAACATAATGAGGGAACATTACCTTGCTATAAGAAGAACGAGAGGGTTGGGAGCGAAGGCGTTGGCTAACCAACCTAGGAGAAAGGGAACGATTATCATTTGCAAGGCTCTCAGCCGTCCCAGCCTCGTCACTATCCATCCGCACACCCAGGACCCCAACAGCGAACCCAGAGACACCAAACTTCCTGTAGAAATGTAACTGAAGTTATAAGTCACTTACGAGGTAGCGCTAAGCTTCTAGAGAGTCAAATATTCACGGGTAACAAGGTAATCAAACAACAAGGCTCTCCTTGAATGAATGACTGCATAAAGAAAGCATGGATATGTAACTATTATGGAAAAAGGGCAGCAGGGTAGTGCTGATGTATCCAATTTTCTCTTAAAAAATGTCCTAAACCTCAGTGGAAGGTCAATTCCTGCTGCACCTTGATGGTACGAGGTAGATGGTCGTACTGCCAACAGGAAGCCGAACGAGTTTTACTGGGATGCTTCGCTGTGAGTAATAATTAGAGAGAAATGTTGTTCAAATAAAGAATTATTCAGCTGGTGAGTAAAAAAAAACGTGCAACAGTTGGGCATTTTCGCCGTCGAAACGTTTCGCCTCCTTAGCAGGCTTCTTTAGTCAAGTACAGACAACTAAATAGTGGAGCTAGCAGATACAAGAGGTAAATATGTAGTGATTATCTCATATTTATTTCTCCTCTACTTCTGCTGTCTCCAGTATTTAGTCACCTCTGTATTAGACTGAAGAAGTCTGCTGAGCAGGCGAAACGTTTCGATACAATAGATACCCATCTGCTGCACATGTGTCCCACTCATCTACTTGACGGTGCTGTTACAGAGAGAATAATGAGACTCTTCTTTCTCATCATTGGTGACTCGTATTACTTCTTATTCCTGCTGAAGACACCGTGTAGCACTGCACAGTGACGCACCGTGTAGCACTGCAGTGACGCACCGTGTAGCACTGCACAGTGACGCACCGTGTAGCACTGCACAGTGACGCACCGTGTAGCACTGCACAGTGACGCACCGTGTAGCACTGCACAGTGACGCAGCGTGTAGCACTGCACAGTGACGCACCGTGTAGCACTGCACAGTGATACACCGTGTAGCACTGCACAGTGACGCACCGTGTAGCACTGCACAGTGATACACCGTGTAGTACTGCACAGTGATACACCGTGTAGTACTGCACAGTGATACACCGTGTAGTACTGCACAGTGACGCACGTGTAGTACTGCACAGTGATACACCGTGTAGTACTGCACAGTGATACACCGTGTGGTACTGCACAGTGATACACCGTGTAGTACTGCACAGTGACGCACACGTGTAGCACTGCACAGTGATACACCGTGTAGCACTGCACAGTGATACACCGTGTAGCACTGCACAGTGATACACCGATGTAGTCACTGCACAGTGATACACGTGTAGCACTGCACAGTGATACACCGTGTAGCACTGCACAGTGAAACACCGTGTAGCAACGCACAGTGATACACCGTGTAGCACTGCACAGTGATACACCGTGTAGCACTGCACAGTGATACACCGTGTAGCACTGCACAGTGATACACCGTCAGCACTGCACAGTGATACAACCGTGTAGCACTGCACAGTGATACACCGTGTAGCACTGCACAGTGATACACCGTGTAGCACTGCACAGTGATACACCGTGTAGCACTGCACAGTGATACACCGTGTAGCACTGCACAGTGATACACCCGTGTAGCACTGCACAGTGATACACCGTGTAGCACTGCACAGTGATACACCGTGTAGCACTGCACAGTGATACACCGTGTAGCACTGCACAGTGATACACCGTGTAGTACTGCACAGTGATACACCGTGTAGTACTGCACCAGTGATACACCGTTGGTACTGCACAGTGATACACCGTGTAGCACTCCCACAGTGATACACCGTGTAGTACTCCCACAGTGATACACCGTGTGCACTGCACAGTGATACACCGTGTAGTACTGCACAGTGATACACCGTGTGGTACTGCACAGTGATACACCGTGTGGTACTGCACAGTGATACACCGTGTAGTACTGCACAGTGATACACCGTGTGGTACTGCACAGTGATACACCGTGCTAGTACTGCACAGTGATACACCGTGTAGTACTGCACAGTGATACACCGTGTAGAAACTGACACAGTGATACACCGTGTAGTACTGCACAGTGATACACCGTGTGGTACTGCACAGTGATACACCGTGTGGTACTGCACAGTGATACACCGTGTGGTACTGCACAGTGATACACCGTGTGGTACTGCACAGTGATACACCGTGTAGTACTGCACAGTGATACACCGTGTAGTACTGCACAGTGATACACCGTGTAGTACTGCACAGTGATACACCGTGTGGTACTGCACAGTGATACACCGTGTAGTACTGCACAGTGATTCACGTGTGGTACCCTGCACAGTGATCACCTGTGGTACTACTGCACAGTGAAACAAACCGTGTGGGACTGCACAGTGATACAACCGTGTGGTACTGCACATTGATAACACCGGTAGTACTGCACAGTGATACACCGTGTAGTACTGCACAGTGATAACTCCGTGTGGTACTGCACAGTGATACACCGTGTAGCACTGCACAGTGATACACCGTGTAGCACTGCACAGTGATACACCGTGTAGCACTGCACAGTGATACACCGTGTAGTACGCACAGTGATACACCGTTTAGCACTGCACAGTGATACAACCGTGTGCACTGCAGCACAGTGATTCACCCGTGTACACGCACAAGTGGATACAACCGTGTAGTACTGGCACAATATTGGAATTTCCCACTGACATACTAACTTAACATTGACCATAAAATTTACATCGCTAATGCAGTTAAATAAGTTCATTGATGGCGGTGAACACAGTAGAAAGTTACGTCTCGTAGCTCGACTGGTAGCGCACTCAGCTCACAAACTGAGGTCCGGAGGTCGATCCCCCGGTACGGCTGGACAACATCAGGACATGCTTCCATAAGACACTCGCTGTCCATGTTCACTAATCAGTCAAATGGGTACCTGGGTGTTAGTGGACTGGTGTGGGTCGCATCCTGGGACATAATTGACCTAATTTGCGGGAAATACTCAGCATAACAAGCGGCTTTCTATATAGCAGTATGTCATTGATGTCAGCTATGGAATGTATACCTTGTACATGTACTGGTAGAAATCAAGATATTATTATTATTATTATTATTATTATTATTATTATAATTATTTCACAAGTTCTTCGACAGAAAACAAATAAGTCATGAACGAAACTAAAAGGATGTTATTAAAGGATCCTTTCTAAATATCTAATACAAGTTATCCACTGGATCAATACTACGTTAGATAAAAGGACACAAGCGTAACTAATGTGACATTTTATTGTGGCAACGTTTCGCTCTCCAGGACTATTACAATCCACACTATTCTTTATTCAGTTTTCTATTCTCTAGTATAACGAGGAGGAGGCTGTAGCACTGGCAACCCACTGGAAGACTTAACAGCAAATTATATTTATTACATGATAATTATGATACACCACGAGCATAACGCTTCTTTGTAAGTATAAATTCTCTGTAGGAAGATTTCTTGAAATGTTGAGAGGCCCCTTGATCAAAGGAACTGAAACTGACTCCCCCTTTCTTGGATCAAACTTGATCGCCTTATATTCTCCCAGGTGCTGTATAACCCTTACAGGTTCAGCTCTCCCATTCACGAATGTAATAATAATAATAACAGTAAAGAGATAATCAGAAATAGGTAACTCTGTTCTCACCCGTCATGTCCATCTCAGCGGTGCTGAGAACCATTTGAGTGCCGACCAGTGTGGCGTTGTTTGTTGCCATGTCTGAGAGTGCCGGTGAGGGCCAAGTTAATGTGGCACCCAGAGAAAAGTGGCCCATTGACCCCATAATCACCAGACCAATCTGTGACCGAGGTGAGGTCGTAGGGAGAGAAGTAGAAGTTGAATGAGCTATAATGAAACGAACGAGGCCCTTCAAGAAAGGCATAATTGATGCTGACATTAAAATGCAGTCAAGTATTAATGACTGACATACTTTAGATATACCGGCACACACACTTTAGAAGGCAGAGTGACTTATTTTAGAAGACATTGACAAATATCAGAAGACATATGGATAGGCATTAGAAGTGAAGGCCAGGCATAAAATACAATGAAAATAAAATAACTGATACTAGAACATAGCGACATATTAAAAGGCATTGATAAACAGAATGTAGGAGCAGACATTACAAGATGTAGTAACATAAGATAATGACAAAAATTAGAAGACTGACAAAAATTAGAAGACACCAGACGATACGTCGACAGCTTTAGTAATGTAGCGGAACTTAAAAGGTAAACAATGTAAGCGTTTAATATAGAATGACAAAATAGGCACATAACACTTAAGAGTACAACTTAAAGACATAAAAATGAAGGTATATAATCACTTGTTTTGTGAGCCGTGCACGTCTCTCATCAGCTGGTTCCTTGGTGGATCCCACCAGCCTCCTGTCCTCTGTGACCGGAGCCACACACTCTCCTCCTAAGTTACATCAAAAAAAAAAAAAAAAAATATTAATAAAAACATCAACAAGGTTTTTCTTGACAGAATTACTTTCACTTTTGGTAGTGTGATGCAAATATGATACATATATATAGCGCCGCTGAAGTGGATCCCAGAAGGGAATCTAAATTTACAAATCAGTCAGTCTTCTGAGTTTCTCTCTCATTATGTGGGCCATTATTGAGCACCTCACTGTTTCTTAAAGGCAAACCACCTCACTGTTTTAAACCGAAAATCTTATTTCTATTCACTGGTTTAGAGATTTAGTAAAACAAATAGAGTAAAATGCAGCTAGCAGCTATTTTCACTGAATAAAAACGTCTTACCTTTGAAGAGTTTCGAGAGTTTTACTACTCTAGGAGCCCGGCCATGGGTCAGGCTCGTCATCTTAGACAAATGTATTTTCGGTCTGCATTATAGAAAGTAGTTAGAGGATATAAAAAATATGAAACAACTGTATTCAAGTTTATGTCCAACACTGGAATGGTCATACAGAATACGTCAGTCCAAAATTCTTAAAACCCACACAACTATTAAAGTGTGCAACTCACTTGCACTTGATCAAATGTCGACACAGTTCACGTGTGTGTAGATTTCTTGTCAAAGAGTCATTCCACAGAATAGGCTGAGTCCACAAATGATAAGCAAAGGCTAGAGTCCACTCATTACGTAGTTTGTAAATAACAAAAAGGCACAATACCGTGACTGGTCCCTGGACCCATTACGTACCTCTGTAATCTGTAAATACCTTTGTAACTTGTCATGATTGTGACCAGACTTACCTGGAGTTCATTAACTTTGTAAATTGTGAGTTCATTACCTTTGTAAATTGTGAGTTCATTACCTTTGTAAATTGTGAGTTCATTACCTCTGTAACTTGCTCAGCTATCAAAACTTTGGAGTCCAGTCCCTGGACCAATTATGTACCTCTGTAATCTTTTGACTACCGCCCACAGGATGGGTATGGGGTGCATAATAAACATATTAAACTAAAACTAACGTGACTGGAACAATACACAAATAACCTGCACATAAAAGAGAGAAGCTTACGACGACGTTTCGGTCCGACTTGGACCATTGACAAAGTCCAAGTCGGACCGAAACGTCGTCGTAAGCTTCTCTCTTTTATGTGCAGGTTATTTGTGTAGTATGTAAAGCAAACCTCTTCTTGAAACTGGTCCAAACCACCAAACAAAAGTAGGTATGTAACACCCAAAATGAGCCAAAGTCTATTCTAAGATATATACATAGTGTACTCCACTAAGTACAGTCAAACCATACCACGGGCGGGGTTAGAACCCGCGATCAGAGTCATAAAACTCCAGACCGACGCGTTAGTCACTGGGCCAGCTTGGCTAACGTTTGTTTTCAATCGTGTCATTACGATTTCGTGAGTCATGTGTACACAGTCTGCAGAGGACAGATACCTCAAAAACTAGATTCCCAACCCGTTCCACAACAGCTATATCCCAAAAGAAGAATTCAGTATATCACATGAACTAGTGGTGACACCTCTCTCAGACTATGTTCAAACGTGATAATGTGCAGAAACTAAATTTATAATGACCCAGTTGGCAGTGCACTCATCTCATACTGAGTGTCTGTGGTTCGATCCCCGGCAAGGGTAAAAACTTTGGGCATGTTTTCTTATACCTGCTGTCCTTGTTCTCCTGTCAGCAAGTAGGTACCTGGGTGTTAACTGTTGTGGGCTGCACTCCTGGGGAAGGGGGAGGGTAGTATATCATAGATAGTGCTGGGTTTTGAAATGAGCTGATGTAGGATAACAGTGCTTAGCCTGTAATTACTATATATATATATCAAACTGCAACAGGCCGGGATTATATCTTGCAATACATTCTCCCGCCTCAAGAGAAAGAACAATGTTCACATCGCCTTAACCACTTAACCAGCGATCTTACAAAGAGTTAGGTGTTGTCCATGATCCGATGACACTCGTGGTAGTGGTAAACTCACTCTTTTGGGTGCATGATCTTTGTAGGATCGCTGGATAAGTGGTTAAGGCGATGTGAACATTGTTCTTTCTCTTGAGGCGGGAGAATGTGCCGCAGGTTCTAATCCAGAGTGGCTGCATTTTGGTAAATGATTCAGTGTCACTTGTTTCGTGGAGGAAGAATGGATTGGTTACATGTTTGTGTAGAGTAGGGTTGAGTAGGGAGAAAAAGGTCATATGTCTTGGCTGAAGACGTTTGAAGAAAGAATGGAGAGTGTACCCTGATTTATTTATATCTTGACAAAAAAGACTTTGAAAATATGCAAGATTATCTAATTTTATCAGTGTAGTGGTGCCGGCAAGCAGTCGTAACAGCTGGCAGCCTATAAAACTCTCTCACTAACACTGATAGTGATGTTATTCAGTGAATACACAATTATAAACCACTCGCACTCACCCATATTATAATACAACTGTGGTATGATTCATATGATCTACTAGTGTAGATTGTTTACTTTAGCCTCGGTGACAGAAGGGTACTATACTCCATGATTGTAAACCTTTTGGATCCCTTGTGGTGCTATGCCTATGATGGTCGTGAATAATGCGGTCACATTCACATGCTACAGCAGTGTTCATTGAAGACTCCGGATCCATGGAAAGAGTGAGGCATGCGACTGTTTTCCTAGACAAAACAATCCAAGGACACTAAAGTCAGCCAGGATAATCACAGAAAAAATATATGCAATGATTACTGCTCTCGTCCACATTACACCTTTGACCACCCCTTCCTTTGTTATTGTTTTAGAATCCAGAAGCGAATTACAAGCCATTCAGAAATGTGGAATACTACTGAGAGTATTTATGAAACGATACAGAATACGCTGACAGCGTTCTGCTCTGCGTAGAGGTTTATCCAAACATTGTTATATTAAGAGCCGTGTTTTTTTTTCTATAATTCTCGGAGAAGATTAAACATGAGCTTGTTAGCGATATACGATGATTCGACTAGTTGAGGAGACCACTAGCTATTTATAATATGCAATATTTGAAGACATGGAAGTCCGCTGGATCCTTTCTAGGGGAATAGGCAAGGTTTCCAGGAAGACAAGGGTTTCCAGGAAGACAAGGGTTCCCGGGAAGATTAGGGTTTCTAGGGGTGGAGAGAGGGTTTCTAAGGGAGGCAAGGGTTTCCAGGGATTCAAGAGTTTTCAGAAGGGGCAATGGTTTCTACGACAAGGATCTCAAGATGGACAAAAGCACCCCGTAATGCTAGCTTGATCCAGCGTTTTTTAAAATTCCTCAAATCAAAAAAACATTAACACATTTCCTTCATGGAAAGCACCTTTCGAGAAGAAAATGTTATAATGGAAGACTAACTTGTTTCACTGATCGAAATAGGAAACAATAATGGAGAATATATATAAGAATATGAAGCTAAAAGAGTAGGTGGAGAGGAGAGCTGGGGGACTGGTAAATTTGATGCCTGATGATGGAAATATGAGACTTTGGCTTGGGTCGCCATCGTTATACGACCCCAGTGTGGCCAGAGAGTAAGAGGTAATGAAGGTGAGCAGTGAGAGGGTGGAAAGGAGTAGGGACGAGGAAGAGCATTGGACAACAAGAGATTACAGGAGACTTCTTGGAAGCTTGAAAAGGAAAGTAGGAATGTAGAAAGGAATGCTAGTGCAACTACTGCAACGAGTTACTGCTACTGCTGCTACTGCTGCTACTACCACTACTACTACTACTACTGCTGCTGCTACTTCTACTACTACTGCCACTATTACTATTACTACTGCTGTTATTACTACTACTATTGATACTATTGCTACTGCTTTCACCACTACTACAAACTACTACTACCATCCACTACCTACTACTACCATCCACTACTACTACCACCAACTACTACTAGCTATTACCCTCACTACGAGCGACTACTACCACTTTTACATTTACATTTACCACTAACTACCAACACTTCTACTACGGGTAAGTACTACTACCACCACCACTATCACGAGCTACTATTAAAATCGCTACTACCACAATCTACTATCACTCTTTGCGAGTTACCACCACTACCATGAACTACCATCACTACTACTAGTTACTACTACCACGAGTCGCTACTACTACTACTACCATACCACTAGCCACCACTTCCTTGACTTACTACTACCACAAACACTAGCTACTACTACTACTACCACCACCACCACCACTTCTACGACCTACTGCTACCATCACTACTGTGGGCTATTACTACCATTAAAACTGCCAACACTCCCACAAGCTACTACTACTACTACTACCACCACCACCACCACTACTACTACTACTATTACTACCACTCTCCCACAACTACAAGCTATTACTACCACCATTACGAGGGAACTGGACAGGTTCCTCAAATCAGTCCCTGACCAGCTGGGATGTGGTCAGTACGCTGCACTGCATGCTGCCCCCAATAACAGCCTGGTTAATCAGGCCTTAATACACCGGGACCGGCAACATGGGCGTTGCCCCCTTCCCTTGGAAGCGTCATTCAGGTATCTCTCTAGTAGTATAACAGGTTCAAAAACTGAAATATTCTCTTTAGTGACTTACAAAAACGTATTGCCTCCTTTTTTATGAATTGTATCGTTGATATAAAATAAATAAATCACATTCACGAGTAAAAAAATTCTATTAAAAAAACATTCACAGTATTTTCAAGATTATAATTTCTAGATTAGACCATGTGGAGACAACGTTATCCATGGAGGCAAAGAAGGGAATATACGAGAGTATAGTGGTACTAATACTTATATATGTGTAAATCATGGGTTGTGAATGCTGCAGCGAGGAGGAGGCTGGAGGTAGTGGAGATGTCGTGTCTAAGGGCAATGTGTGGTGTAAATATTATGCAGAGAATTCGTAGTGTGGAAACTGGGAGGTGTGGAGTTACAAAAAGTATTATTCAGATGGCTGAAGAGGAGTTATTGAGGTGGTTTGGTCATTCTGTAGTGGATGAAGCAAGATA